TGTCGGCAAGAAAAGGAAAAAAAAACGGAAAAGAGTTGAGGAGAAGCGAAAAATAGCTTTGGTTGTGTCTCAAATTAAAAAAGAGGGTCGATGAAAAGTCAAAAAAAAAAACTAAAATCATCAATATCTCGAAAATAAGTGAAGGTTTTACACGTCTTCGATTAAAAAGAGAAAAAAATTCAGCACAGCTCTCTAAAAATTGAGCAAAAATCAAAGAAACGCCCTTAGACCAAACGGTCTTCAACAAATGACTTGGCGGGAAGAAAAGCGCACCCACTTTCCTCGAGTCTCAATGGAGCGCACAAGCCCGATTCAAAATTTTTCTGCTAGTTCGAGCGAGAAAGTTTATAAAGTTGTTGAAGTTGAAAAATGATATAAGTTTCTGAAACATCTCGAAAATCAGTAAGTTTCGAACAATGACAAAATAAAAATTGGAATGAAAAAACACGATCCTTCATTATTCACAAAAAGTAGATGATGTTTGTCATGACTTTTGGTTTTTTCGGTTGCTATAAAATATAACAGGATCGACTATGGAGAGCCTTTTAGGTTGTTTTTTTGAGGTGTTGAGAATTGTGAATAAACTAAATTTCTTTTGATATCAATAGTTTTCGAACCACTCGAAAAGTTTCTCAAGCAAGGAAATAAACGAATAAAATTATGAGCCAAGCTCTGGCAACCAAAAAAAGTTTTGAAGCTTGGAAGATGGATAGCGCAAGAGACATGCCGCATAAAAATCGTCGACAGAACGAAGGGAGCGGCAATCGGGGCACAAACACTCGAGAACGTCGTTTGGAAAAACGGTCTATTCATGGATCGCTGGTCGATCCAAAAATTCTTGTCCCAATACTCGGAGGTTTCAAAAGGTTGAGAATTACAAAAAATGGAAACAAAAGAACGGTCCATTGATAGATTTGAAAAAAAAATTTTTTGTCTTTCACTTTATGCTCATTTTTTTAAAGCTAAGGAAAATATTCAACAAATTTATTTTAGTGGTTCGTTTAGAACCTATTTTTGATTTTAGAACAAAAAAATTGATTTTAGATTTAGGGCTCTATGACAATAACCCTTTAAATATTGTTTATATCACAAGCAAAATGATATTTTCGAAATATGGAAAGGTTCTCTGGAAGTTTCATTGCTGGACTTCAAAATTTACATTACACTAAAGGAAAAAGTTATGGCACCTGCTCTGAATGCTTTTCCATCGAAACCTCAAAGTTGATAGCAAAATTTAAAAAAAAAACCTTGTGCTTGAGAAAAAGATATCATCTAAGACGACCAAGTTCCCGACAGGAACGAAACAAATTCGCAAAATGAACACCTCTTTTTTTTGAAGGAGATTAAATCAGACATTTTTGCGATTGTTCAAGAACTAGATGAGGCCAGAGATAAATCAACTACTTAGCGTTCTTTGGAGAAAATAATGGGTGGTTGAAAACAAAGTAACTAGGCTTTTGTTTCAATATTTGTCGAAGAAAAATATTGATGAACATTTGAAAAAGGCGAAAAGAAAACATATTGAAGAAAAAAGCTTGATTTAATACTATTTCTACTGAACAATGTTGCAAAACAATCGGAGACGTGAATTGAGAAGGTCGTTAAAATGAATGTTTCGAATGTTTACGGAGATGTTAAGGCGTAAAAGGCTATCTTCTCTGCGCCGATAGCGATCATAACCTGATATGCATCCCCAATTATGGCTTATTCCGTCATTTCAATCTCTCGAGATTCGAGAAACAAGAAATATAAAAACCTGGAATGCGGGAGAATCAAAAGATATCAGAAGAATCAAGGCTGATGGGAATTATCAGCAATATTCGGCCGAGAGGAGAGAAGAAATGGAAAAATAATAAGGATAAAGAAAAGGAAAATTAAGAAAAATAGAAGTTTGAGCGGAATTAGGCTTGTCGAACTAAAAATATCTAAGATACTTGTTCAAATATTGAAAATTAATTGAAAAGGGAAGCAAAAATCTATATTTTACGCTGTAATACCCTATTTTGATTTGAAATTTTGATCCTAAAGACCGATAAAACTGAATTAGAAAAGCTTTGACTCTACAATCTCTTGAAAAAAAGTGACTTTGATAATTATGAAAAAAAAGAAACAATTTGGAAGAAAAAAAAGAAAGAGCAAAAGTTCAAAAAAATAACGAGAATCAGGTGTCTCTCAATATTTCAAAAAAATAACAAGAAATAATGGAAATCCAAACAAAATGAAGGGCGCCGAGAGTAAATTTTTAGTGAAGGTCGATTTTTTTGCATATTATTTTACTGAGGATCAAAAAAATCGAAGCTTGAAAGTATCACTCATTTTTTTAAATAGAAAAAAAGTTAAAATGGGATTCTGAGAACCATATCAAATATAAAAACAGCACTTTTTTGCGTCTCAGAAAAAAAAAACAATCCAAGTTAAAAAAAAGGCTTGACTTGGATAAAAAAAAAGGGTAATAAGAATTAGGATAGCCCTCATAAGACGAAATTTTGACTTTTTTTGCTGTAAGTCAACTAGAATTTATCCATATCTCGGAGTACCTGATCCAAGAATGTCCAAAAAAAGAAAAAGACGGTTCTGAGGAGGATGAGCACGCGTGCATCATGCAAAAGCGAAAGGAGCGGCGGTCTTCTTGAAGCTTAGGAAAAGTCAACAGACAGAAGCACGCGAGCGCCGGACTGTGTCCGACCAAAGGCCCGCGGGTGTCGCCGGGGACGAATTTCATTTATCCACAGGCTTTCCCTCTCGTATCACATGTCATATCACTGTCGCTGGGCTTCACGAGATCGAACTCGAAAGATGAAGCAATTTCGGGAAAAAAAAGCCAGACTTCGATGTATGAAAAAGCTACGTCTTGGTTATCAGCTTTCAGAAAATTACTCATTGTTAACTATCAGTTTTTCTCTTGCAAACCAATCAGGAAAACATTTTCCTTCTTTTTTTGCCTATTTTTAAATTCCATACAATCGCTTGGCCTCTTACTTTCAAAGAAAAGAGAACAAACTTTTTTAGAAAAGTGAATGAATTCCACAAAAAAAAGTACAGATACTTATCGAAATTCATTTTTTTGAGCCTCTATTTGTTTTATTATTCAAGAGTAAATTCAAAAAGACACCTTTTTTTAAATTATCCTCTTTGAAAATTGCAGATTTCCCAATGATTTTACAGCAAATTTACATGACAAGGAGTATTTCACGTAATTAAAATTTCCTTTCATTTTGAAAAAGCATGTTCAATGAGAAATAAATTGCAATCATGATTTTCAAAAAGAAACGACGTTCACAATGAGCTTGAACCATGGAAAAAGACTCGTCCAGCGCTTTATTCAATGAAAAATTCTCAACGTACGAAAAAAAAGGCAAAGTTTAACCAAACACATTTTTTCTTCTGCTTCATAGAACCAAGTGGGTGAGTCATCACGTGTTTCTCCAAACTTGAAAAAAGGTGATACTGAACTTTATTCTTCCTACACGAAAAGGAAAAAGATAATGAGAGTCTGAGAAAGAAAGGCAGAATTACTCGGAAAAACAAAGGTTTCGCAAGAAAAAGGAAATGAAGAAAAATAGGTTGATGAGTGGGAGAAAGTGGACCTGCGCAGTAAGTGGATGGGAAGATGATTCAGAGGGCTGAATAAACTGAAGGAGAAGAAAAAAACGCATAATTATTAGATTCGAAAAAAAGGTATAGAGCACAAAAAAATGAAAAATAAACAGAAATGAAGTATAATAAATGTTTCTGTCATTGAGATGAGAAACTTTAAGATCAAATTTTCCTCTTTCAACATTAAGACATCAAAAAAATAATTCAATGTTTGCAGCATAAATGCGGAAAAGACGCTGATAAGTTCGGAAAAAAACGGGATTTATTGACTTTTTCCTCGATATCAGGGCTAATTAAAATCTTCATTCCTGTTTTTTGGATTCAGAATAACTGCTGATCCCAGGATAGTTCCAGAATTTTCGAGAAAATTAACTGAACGCACTGAAAACACAGAAAAAACAGAATCCTTATTTGATAGACCAAATTTTTTTATTTTTTTATTATGCTCAAAAATCAATAATGGTTCAACACAGTGTGATACAGTCACTTTAGTAGCATCAGTCCAAGACTCTTTGCCCATATGTCACACATCTCTTGAACCCAAAAACACACAAACATCTCCCTTCCTTTCTCTTCTCTCTGCAAATCGCGTGGAAATGAGCGCGTACGCAAATATCTTAATAACACGGAAACCGTCAAATTTCCTATCCATCTTTGTCTCTTGCAGATGGAGATTATGTTTCAAGCAGATATCGAAGAGATGTTATTTGGAAAACGTCGTTCCCACTTTTCTAAATTTTTGATTTCAATGATTCGGTGCGACAAAATCATGTTAAGAGGACAAATTCATCTGTTTTTCTTTTTTTTTTGATGTAAGTGACCTTCTCTTAACTCATTGAAAAATGGAAACTCTCTAACCCATTTTTTCCAGCTTTTTGCAAAAAAATTCCTGTAAATGCCTCACTTTTCTTGAAGCAGTCTAAATGAACTTTGAAAAAAACTTTGAGAAATTGAAGAAGGTCGATGTTTTCGATTTATATTTTGACCCGAACACAATCCTTGAAACCAAGCTTTTTTTCCTTTAAAGCTCAGATCAATTAAAAAAATTTGTTGAAAAAGTTTTTCTTTTTTTCACAAGATAAAATTGAGCAGGAATGAAAGGTCAACACAATTTTACGAACAACAGTAATTCTGCGTCAAACGTGTTTTTCAACAAATTTCAAACCAATTTTATTCCAGGAGAAATGCAAAAAAGGGAAAAAAAAATCATCAAAGAAACGTTCCACTACCAGTTAAATACTAAAAAAAAATCTTTAAAAACCTTTCCAGGGATCCCAAACCGATAATAAAAATCTATTAAACAAATGAAAAAGTGAAATAAAGACAAAAACTCGGGTTGGACACTACCAGTTTTCTCTTGCGTTGCTTGGGGGAAATGCCAATTGTCGATTTATTCAAAGTTTTCAAGGCGAACTCTCGACGGAAGTGCTTTTTTCGCGGAAGATTGGATTGGTCTGCATCCTGTTGAGATGTTGAGCACCCCAATCTGGCGGCAGATCAACCGAATCAATGATTGTGGAGACTGGACTGGGAGGATTTGTGACGTTGTGAAGGATTCTCCTGGATAGAGTGGCGACCCTGTCGTTGGCTTCGTCGACCTCTGGCGGGTAGATTGAATGGACGTGGCTGATTACTTTGACGTTCTTGTCTAAAAAGGAATCTGATACATGTTTTATACTTTTTTCAAATGAAACTAAAATCATTATACCATTCAAAATTTTGGTGTAAAAATCAAATCGAAATCTTCTGAATGTACTACACAAACACCGTAGAAGTTTAACCAGTTCCTCCTCTGATTCAAAAAAAGATACTTCGAGAATCTAGCTTTTTTCTCACTGGCGAGGCAAAAAGTTCTGAAACTCGCGGTTTTGAAATGATTCTACCTGTTTCAATTTTCAGCTAGGATGTTTGATCTTTTTTCTCACATAGCTTGCATTTTGTCATAACATATAGTTCTGTTGATTTTTTTGATTGGAATGATTGCATTTGTAAGCATTAAAATTATAGAAACACTATATTTATGTTGTTGGGAGAAGAAAATTAAACACCAACATCAGTTCAGATTCCCCAAATTCTTAAGCTCTTTCAAAAGCGGGCCTTCTGAAAACTTTCTGTCAATGTAAAAGATACTTTGTTCACCTTTTTACTTTTTAAAAACCAGTTGTCTCCAAGTTTTGAAATTTTTTGTCGTCTTGAAAAAATTTTTTCTGATTTTCATTTTAATACTCACCATCAGCGTTGACCGGGTGAACCTTAGCAAAAGGAACCCGTTTCAAAATCCTCTTGCGGATGAACTGGAACGCCGTGTGAACTCCGTAAATAACCATTTGAAGAAGAGTGATTATCGAAAGCCCAAGAAAGAAGCCAAATTGCCCTGAAGCCGTTCTCAGATATGAGAGGGTAATTTTCTTGGAAAAAACCTCCAATTTGGGACATAAACCCAGGAACCGACGTTGTGTACACTTCTTTCACGTATTCGTACTGAAAAAGTTTGGGTTAGAACTGAAATTTGGAAATCAAATGAAAAGAAACAACGGAAACTAAAAAAGTGAACTAGTAGTCCAAGTTTTTGACAGCTAGAGGAGGGAAACGAATCTCATGATTTCTTGTTTTTAAGCGTCTCATTCAGAAAATCCTTTTTTTGTTCCACGGAAATTCTTTCCGCAAACTGCGAGATACAAAATTCTTAAAATGGAGATCTCTTTTGAGATTTCCAAAAAAACATTTTCAAGGTCGATAATGAATTTTTTTGCTATTTAATTTGAAAAAAATTTTTCAATTCATTCCCATTTTCGAACTAGAAACTCATGGAAAATGAGATGAAAGAAAGTAAAAAAAGTTTTAAATTTGGTTTTATTTTGGTGTAAAAAAAGAAATTAGAGGATGTGAAACTAAAAAGGAAGTGCGAGGCACAGAAAATGGCCTCGAGTTCAAAAAACTTTTTTTTCAGAAAGAGAAGTTACTTCCACTCCTTGCACTCAAAAATACTTGTAGTTGCTATCAAAGGGACAAGAAAAGAAAGAAATTAATTTGGAAATTGGAAAAATTTACTCGTTTCCGAAAAGAGTTTTTGGTGGAAGAAAACGAAAGAAACATGAATAAAACGGAAAAAAATATCAGGGATGAGAATATTTCAAAATGTAAATTTCATCTCTCATGTGACTTTCAAGAATGGTTTTTGTTTCTCATAAATAATTTTTACGAGAAAAATTGATTTTTGCGGCCGTTTGGGAATTTGACGAATCTTTGCAAACATTTTTCTTTCATTTTTTTCTTTGCTATGTTTTTGCCAAGTAACGGAGATTCAAAATGCGTTATTAGTATAGGTAAAAAGGTTTTTTTAGTGTTTTTGAATTCTAGCAAAATAATTGATAAAAAAAGAGGCAAAATTTTTTTCAGCTTGAATCCTAGGGACAGGAATAAGGATTCTTGCAAATCTCTTCAGTTTCTCAACCGACCATCAAAATCGTGAGAAAAATTGAAGGTTATAGCAAAGAAAATAGATGGTTTTCCATCCAAGCCGTCTTTTTCTATTGCCAAGTCAATCCTTCTGAAAAAAATCGAATTATATGAATCTAGACTTCTTGGAAATTGTTCAAAAAAATACATTCAAGTTTAAAAAGAAAAAAAGATTATGCTTCAAGAAAAATTATGTGGGAAATTATGGAACAGAAAATTTTCAAATCTATGAGATCTTTGAACTGCTAGGCAGTTTTCCTGCCGGAGATGTTCTTTTTTGCTTCAGAATACAAAAAAATCGTAGTTTTGTGAGATTAATGATAAGTGGGAACATTTTTTTGGGATATTGGGAGAGGAAATTTCAATGTAAAATTTGGTCAATATGAAAAAGTTACATAAACAATAACAGTAGTTTGATAATCCTGCGTTCTCAGCCACAAACCTAAAACTTCAATGATGTATTTTTTAAAATCAAGTTTTCATCCCTTCATCAGCTTTCAAGACTTTTTTTTTGAAGAAGTAGACCAGATTCCTGCTTCGAAATCTCTCGTTTTCGTCATTTTTTTCAATCAAAGTTTGAAAGACTGCCGAAGAACAGAGAAAATTTGGGATTTGAAGGGAAGTTGATAAAATATCTCTCCAAGAAGTCCCGCAAAAAGTTAAAGAAAGTTTGTGAGGTCTCTGAAAAATCGAAAGCTTGAAAATTTGCCTTTCTTGTAACACTTCCCTTTCTTTAAAAGCCAACATCTTCTCAAAGTTCCATAAAAAGAAATTCAGCCAAACAATGGATTGATAATAGATGAAAAGATTACTTGCAAGTCGTTGAACGAAGCTTCAAGGTTAAAAACGTAATTCTCAAACGGAGAAAGGGTCTGACTTTGTTGCATCGACGTTTGGTAATCCCAGCGTTTGCATCCCGGCGTGCACTGCAAAACTTTTTTTTTCCTCCTCTCCAAAGTTATTTTTGGTCATTCATCATGTCGCAATTGGACAGAACGTAGTTATTCTGGAATGAATAATGACATCTGGGGAGTAATGTATTGCAGTCTTTCCTGTGTCTGCTTTCGAAAGATATGGGAAACATGTTGATCTTTTTGGCTTGGAAGCTTCGGATTCAAAGTTCAAAGATAACTCATCGGAATTTCTTTTATGAAAAAGGTCATTCGACTTCTCGGTTAGGATACTTATGAAAATAGGCCAGAACACTTCTGACGCACCAGAAAAAGATGCTGACCGTCCCAATTTGCACAAAATTCTAGTTATTGAAAAAGGAAACTTGAGAGTTAAAGTAAATTTTGCAAAAATGAGCCATTTTAAGACTTTGGGTTCTTATTTTTTTTTAAAAAAATTTGTACAAATTAAGACTTTCACGAACTTTATTTGGTTTATTAAGGAATATTTTAACGAAATTTCAAAACTTTGCAAAGTTTCCAATCGCAAATTAAACGACCTTTTTTGGTCAAAACTATTTAAAATATCTCCAAAAAAAACCTAGGAAAACATTTTTGAAGGGTCCAATTTTCATCAAAAATTAAATCATTCTCTCGAATTTTTTTGAACGGGAATTTTTTCTACTATGTACCTCAAATAAAACGAAACGTTGTTTCAAAAAAACCCCGACCTTTTCTTTAACTTCAGCGCTGTTGAAAATCAACTGAATTGTGTTCAAATAATTGTCCGCCAAGATATCCGGCCGACAGACGCCTTCAGTTGGCGGAAGCTCCGGAATATTTTGTAAGTAAGGCAGAGTGCAGTTGAAAGGCAGCACTACATTTGACATTAGCCATTTTCGAACCATACATTCAGCGTCTTTACCGAAAAGCTAAAAGTTTGATAAAAATTGAATTCAACAAAAAAATCATTCACCTGATTAGTACAGACATCTTCGTTTTTGAATAAGTTCGATATATCTTGCAGTGAACCTCATTCTGTTCCATTCGTGTGGGTAGAGGTAGAATCGAGGAAAGTCCGTGATGAAGTCATGATTGTCGGTTATGTAAACGATTATTTGAGGCTGAAAAAAAGGTTATTTATGAAGAATCCCGCGTAAAAAAGCAGCTTGAAAAATCGAAGCTAGGTCTAAAAATTTTTCCCGAAATTCTGCGTTTAAGCTGAAAAATCAAACTTTCAAACTAAAATACTTTTTTTGGCCGGAAGCTCCAAAAAAGGGAGTTTCACTTCGCGTTCTTCAATAAAGCTGTATAAAAAAACCACTCAATTTTTTTCAAAATCAGTCTCGAAACTCGAAGTCAGACAAGGCTCAAAAAGAAAACTCCATGAATCGAGAGAATTTTTAAAGAAATAAAAATCAAAACAAATATAGATGAATCATAATTCTAAACAGTTTATTCTATTCATATTTTTCTTTTTCTCCACTTTTTCTTGCCATCGTTCTCAAAGTAAACTTTAGCCAAGCTCCATCTGGTTTCATGATTTCGCTATAAAAAAATTTTTGCTAAAAAAAGCATGAGGCTTTATTTGCCGGATATTTTTCAAGAAGTGGTAATTTGCATTTCTTTCATTTAAAAACCAAAAATTTCGAACTTGAGTATAATTGTAGTCTGGGTAGGTGACACTGGAAGAAGCTTTCAAATGGAAAACTATACGGCCGATGTCATCAGCTTCAGTCTGAAAAAAAATAAGGTTCTTACAAAATGTTCAATATAACGTTTCTATCACAGTTGAAATTCGAATCTAAACTTTTAAAAGGGTTCTTTGAGACCTCCTAATTTTAAAACAAGAAGGAAAATTTCTTGCACTAGGCCTGGTTTTCGAGTTGAGACACTTCAAAAGCTTGAAATAGCGCTATTTTGTCACAGTTTGCGTGTTTCGCCATTTCATGAAGTCCCGGGTTAAAAAATGCTCCTGGTTAAAAAAAACCAACCTGATTGACCCAAACCCTTGTTTGATAGCAGATCCCTCGTCTCATTACCGGCATTCTCACCATCAAATCCGAACAACAGTCTATCGTTTTTCCACCAAATTCACACTCGTAAAAAAGATCCTCACATTTATAACCGTATCGATTCTGAAAAAAAAGTTTGAAATTTTTATCAAGCAGTGAAAAATTGAATCAAACCTGTATGAGGTCGAAAAATTCGCCAACCGTGTAGCCTTCGGACCAAATTTTGTACAAATTGTTCAAGTAACTTAAATAAGTTCGGTTGAAGTAAGGAACGTCGTTCATATTTTCTAAACCGCTTCCAGCTATGAAGAATCTGGAAAATTGATGAGATGTGAGAAACTTCAATTTTCTTCCTCAAAATAAAAAAACTTGCTCAGCAGTCAGTTTTAGAGTTATAAAAAAATCCAGATTTTTTTCTGATTCAAGAAAAAAAATTTTTTTGAAATTTTGTATCTCTCTCGAGCAACCGACAGAAAAAAATTATCGAGAAAAAAACAGTTTCATAATTTCTGTCTCTTTGTCACTCTCCAACTCTTCAAAAGACAATCAAAAATCGTCATTTTCCCTTCACGAAAATCAGCCCAAAGAAGTTGAAGAGATCTTTCGAAAGTCAATGAAATTTTCAGATCTTTCGTAATTTTGAACCATCATACGACAAAATGACTTGTTTTAAAACACCCAATATCAAAATTCACTGCACCTTATCAAATCCAAAACCGTCTTATCATCAATTTCAGGTAAACTACTGGTAACGTCTCCAATCAAACCAGTTCGATTGAAAGAGTCAGGCACTTTTGGGCAAATTGTGATGGCTGGAAGCTCCAGACTGTCAACCTGAAGCACTAAATTTGTAAAAAGTTTGGTTTCAATTCAAACCAATCGAATTGTAGTTGATGTCGCAGTGGGGCCATTGATATATTCAATAATTACCAAACAAGTTGTGACAGCCCCAAATGAGATACACGTAACCATTACAATCCACCAAAAAGCTTTCATTGGTAAAGTTTCGCTTAGAAGAGCCTAAAAATGATCAAACTCCTTCTCAGAAGTCAACTTCATGGAAACTTGACTGAGGCCGTGGATTTCTCCGGTCCAAGGAGGTGGGTCATTTTCATGACAAGTGCATTGGCGTTGAGGTTCAGGTAGGTACATTTTGACCTGAAATTTGAGAAGGACACGTGAAAGGAAATAAAAGGAAATTTTCTCATAACTGAGCAACTTCTTGGCTTTGAAGAAAATCCTGATTCGCAACAAAATAATGCCTTTTTTTCTAAGGACAGATAGGTCTGCTCAACTGGCTCGAATTTTTAAATTTGTTTTTTCAAAATCTTTTAACAATTTTTTTCCTGGTATCGACTTGTAGAATGCAAGACCAAAGTTTAAACCGAGTTAAAAACCAAAAAAATGGCTTTATACTGATTTTTCATTCAAAGGACATTACACTTTTCGGTTGGAATTTCAACCAGCTTCAATTTGCAGCTTCTAGCCATTGGATTACTCGATGTACTGTGATAAGATTCTAGAAATCTCTCCCTGTATAATTCCCTAGTTTGCCTAAAATGAGGGCTCAACCTCACGAAATAGCATGATTAAAATGGTTTTTGAGGCCTTTTTCGACTTTAAGGTGTCTTTTCTGAAAAACTGGGGTTTTTTTAGCAGGTTGAGAACCTTCATAAAGTACATCGAAAATCTTCAGACCAATTGTTAGATAGTTCCTAATCGCGAAGTAAAGATACCTTTTGTCAGAAGTAACAAAGTCAAAAAATTATAGCTTTTTACTCCCGACAAATAAAATATTCCAAAAGTTCAAACGGACCTTTTTCAGTTTAGAGAGATGTGAAACTTGTGGCATTATTGATCGATATAAAAGATAACTGCAACTTCAAGAAACCAGGATAAGGTACAAGTTGAGGTGAAGGTGGAGCTTTTCGTAGGGTCGAGATCTGAACGCGGCCAGCTGCGCGTTCTTCATTCCAAATTCCACAATTGTAACATAATCTCTCCTTGCGTAGGTATGCTTATATTGGGGGTAAATGTTTCCCTGAGTTGAAGACGTTTATAACGAGCGTCTAGTATGAAGATATGTTCCTGGTATAAGCCCTAAAGATCAAAACATTTTATTTTAGAACAGCTTTCCCTTGAAATTTTTCAAATTTTTAAGTCAGCATTCCAAAAAATAAAATTCTTCACTTCTCGGAATTTTACAAGGGTTGTCTATTTTCTTCTACCAAAAACATGTTGCAAAGGATCAAAAAATGATAGTTCAGCTTTTGCCCTCAATATTTCAACTTTTCCATCCGAAAAAAAAATTCTTTAGGAAGTTCCTGACAGAAAAAACATTTCCCAAGTTCTGACAGAATTCACTTGCTGAGCGCTGAGGAAGTGTTGTAGAGATACACGCCGAGTTTGCGCTGTTTTAATACGAAAATTGGTTTTTTCGAGCTTTGAAGCTGCAAATTGAAGCTTGTTGGGCTTTTTGGTAAAAAACTACTTTCCAAATCCAACTTCCAACATTCTTTATTGGATATATTGACTGATCTTGAAGGTCTCGACATGTTCAAAAATCACAAGTTGGAATAATAATGGTTTTGAACTGAGCTGATCCCTCTCTTTCTTGTCTTTATTCACTTGGCAGTAGAATATTCATTTTTATTTTTATTTTTATTATCTTTTTTGAAACAGTGAACTAACGTCAAATCTCAACGCCATCCATTTTTGTCTCTCTTCAACTATTTCATACAAGTAATATTTATTCAAATTTTGAATAACGAAGCCCAGTTTTGCGGAGCGGATCTGGATGATCGCAAACAGAGGTAAAACCCGATGATCTATTAAATTCTGGAAAAGAAGGGATATACAAGTATTCAGGACACTGTTTGTTTTTGGGGGGTGGGGGAAACAGCAATAACAATTGTCTAGATAGGTACAGATAATCAATAGGCAAACGCCGGATGATAACTAGCTTTTCTGATGGATTTGGGCGTTTCTGATGGAATTTTAAGCGGAGCGGTTGACGGGCTCAGCGAGGAGTTGCTCGATGAAGGGAGTGACGGTGTCGCCGTGGCTCCAGGCGGTCGGGTGGAAGCGGAATCGTGGCTGACCGTTGCGGTCGATCAGGAACTTCTCAAAGTTCCAGGTGATGTCGGAGGCGCGGACCGGGTTGTACATGAGCTCGTCAGTCTTGCCGATTTTGTCGATCGTCTGAGGGCAAGTTTCCTGGAAATTGTTCATTATAGTCACTTAGCCTTTATCTTCCACATTTTACTTGAAAGCAGCAATTTATGAAAACTGAAAAGTATGTGTATATTCCTCCAGTAAATACTTTTTGTACCTAGATCCTGCAGAGTAGAGTGAAACTTTATGAAAAAAGACAAAAATCTCGCAAATTTCACCAAATTATCAAAGTCAGGGTTGGGACAATATTCAGAACAGTTTTTCAAGAAAGAAAAATGTTTGAATTCATTTACAGTCCTTTTTGGTCTTTTCGGACAGTTAATTCTTTATCAAAAGTGCTCAAAAAACGTCCCAAAGCTACAGTTTTTCGTTTTGATTTTTGGTAAAACCTGATTTGAAGTGAAATTTCATCACATTTTTTTTTTTCAAAATTGCGCCTTGGGAAAACTTCAATTGCTCCCAATTTTTTTGGTCTGAGGTGTTTTTCAAGTGGGGTTTTCATATATTGTTGAATTCGTTCAATGCCACGGCAATTTGAGAAAACCTCGTGATCGGATTTTTCAATTTCAATAGAGACGAAACGTTTTTTTCAACCTTGAGAAGCGAAAGATTTACAATTGTTATTCTCAAACTTCAAGGTCTTGCAGGGAAAATAAAGAAGAAAGACCAGAAATCAAACCTTGAGGAACTCGTAGAGAGGGTGGTGGGCCTCGCCGTTGACCTCGAGCTTTCCGTAGATGTGGAGGTTCTGGTGCGGCTTCCAGCCGTTTCCAGGGCGGACATAGGTGATGCCGTTCATCAGTTCGTGATTCTCAGCTGGCTCCTGCGAATCAATTCAAAAATTAGGCAGTTTTGGACTTTTTTTTCTAGGATGGAAGGAGTTTTTAAAAATATTCAATTTGGCTTTTTAAGACTTAAAGAAAATTTCAATTGATCTTTCAGCATGAATCTTTTTCTAAATAGGCCTATGAAAAATTCGATTTTAAAAGAAAACGTCACCTCTTCTGAAATAGAAAAGATTCTTCCAGCTTTTCTGACGGAAAGAATTATATCGATTTGTTATCCACTTTTCATGAAAAAAAAGCTTGAAAAAAAAGTTTCATAGCGTTTCAAAGTTTATAGGACTCCTAAAATTTCAACTAGGGCCGAAAATAGCTCAATTTATTGCTTGATTTTTGTATTTTGATTCAAATTTCACTCCTATTTTGATGAATTTTTGTTTTCTCACCTGGAGGTAGAACTGATTGCATGGGAAGGCGAGAATTGTGAAGCCCTGCGACTGGTATTTGTCGATAATTCCGTTGAAGTCGGTGTACTGCTGCGTGTACGCTGCAAATCTTCCATTCTTCCACTTTTTCTTCTTTTCTTTTCTTTTTTTCTGTGTAAACACGCCACTGTTTTGATGGCATTTGAAAAAAAAAACCGGTCCTCAAAAAACCATCTTGAAAGTTTCCAATTTTTTTTTCTCGTGTTCTTTGTGGTTTGGTGGTTCAAACAGTTGATTGATGAGATAAGGGTTGACCTAATCAAAAGTAGGGCGGAGAATGAAAAAATGGCCGACGCCCAGAAGAAAGTGAAGTTTTTTGATTGAGAAAAAAGAAAGGATCGAACCGCAAAAAGTGGCAACGTTGATGACGAGCAGAACTTGTCCTTTGTACTGTCTCAGGTCGGTGTATTCACCTTGCAAAGTTTCAACCTGAAACAATGATAAAATAAGGTTATTTTTGGGGTGTCTGATAGGGAAAACGCAAAGAAAGGAAAATAAAAACATAAAGGTTACCTGGAAGTCATAAATGGATTGATTGGCGTCTCTGCACTGTGACCACCGAGTAGATTCATCGATCATTTTGGGCCCTGGAAAAGTTGGGACAATGAATTTTCCACTATTTGTAGTTTGTTCTTCAGTTCAGCGGAAATTTTAATTTAATTTTGAAACATAAAAAAAAGGTTTTTTTTTTGATCATAACATTGCAAAAAACTTCCAAAATAAGCCATTATGAACTTACTTCAGTGACATTTTGGGAGTTTTCACTTTGAAGTTTCTAAGAATTCGAGAATTTTCGAGTTTTCAAGCGCCAAGGTACATTTTTTTAATGAGTTTGGCAAGTGACTTTTGAAAAAATCGGTCTGTTTGGTACTCATCGTTAAAAAACTTTTTGGTTAAGAGTGAGGGAAATTTCAAAGAAGTAGGAAGTTCGAAGATCCAGCAAAACTTGAAAATGAGAATTGCTTTTTTGCACCAAGGACCAAAATAGTCTCTGAATTGCCTTGAATAGGTGGAAAATTATTAAAAGACAAAAGCAGCCATTTATAAGTTGATTAAAAATACCTGGCTGAGCATAGGCCAAGGCGGCAAGTGCCAGGAGAAGGACGAGGGATGCCATGGTTAGAGTTGGTGTTGATGGTGGCAGGCCTCAAGCGGCCGCATTTTATACAGTTGCTGTAGGCCGCGAGAGAGCACGATTCCGCGGAGACGCAGACACTGCCCACCCCTCCAAGTCAACGCCAAGGAGGTGGGGAAAAAGAATCTTTGAACAAATACTCCGCAAGGGGTCGACTTCAAACTTGTTATATTTAATTCAGCGTACAGTAAGCAAACATCTTCTTTTGCTTCTTTTTTCTTTTCAAAATTCAACCTCACGTCATTTTTTTAAAATAGGAAAAAAACTCGAAAAATTCTGAATTTTGATCTTCGTTTTTTTGTAAAATTCTAGAGATATTCTGAGACGTTCTCAAGATTCGAATAATCTGATTTGCAGTTATTTTTCTGATATGATTAAAATCACGAATAATCCCAAAAAGGTCAAAAAAATCCAAAAAGGGTTTCAATATCAATATTTCGTTTTTCGGTTGTGAAAATTCGAAAATTTGCGCAAATATCTTTTTCACTACAAAAACTGAGAAAGCCACTTTTAATCATTAAAAAAAGAAGGCTTTGAGTTTTTTTCTCCATCGAAGAAATTTCCCAAGGTTCACAATGCTCTTTCAATATCTTTCCTTTTTTCGAAATTCTGGGGATATAAAAACTAAGCTATTTTTTTTTAATCCAGACAGTTTATTGGCACAATGAGTTTCTCGAAAGTTTGCAAGCCTCGACCCTTCGCCTAGGCTAAGCTGGTTTTTTCCCAGCTATTATAATCGCAAAGGTCCAAGTTTCTCAAACAATACAGCTATTTCGATCGCAATAAACTTTTCGAGTTGTGAGTTGCTTTCTGGAAAAATAAAATGTGTCAAAAGTGAGCTTTGAGAAGGATCTACGCTAAAAATTATAATTTTTGAAATTTCTTCGAATAGGCTCAAAAATATCTAACTTTCTCTTGAAAGTTGAGGGTTTCTAGTATGAAAAAGAGAAACTTGTTTTGAAATCTTTTGAAATCCTTAAGAAATCATACAACCTTGAGTTCGAATCGGACCATTCCTCTCTCCATAAATCGCCTTTTGAAATTTTTCCGGTTTCTAAAAATTGGAAAATCAGCGCCTGAACAACGCAACAAAGTTAATACTCGCTCAAGGTCAGTGAAATCCAAAATATTCAATCGGGCAAAGTTTACCTATTGCAAAATTTCGGTTTTTGAGAAAGTCAGGTTGCTATTTTTTTTGTCAGATAGGGTTCAAAATTACTACAGAAAAATCTGAATTTATTTTTTGTGACTTCGTTAATTTTTTGTGACTTCGTTTCGAAGTGATTTCTCCAGTTATTAGTGACCTCCAGCACAGGTTGAAACTCCTCTCTCTCATTGACACTGATTTTTCGCTGAGACTAATATTCACTGCCGCTTTGAGAGGGCATGTGTTATTAAATGTCCTGTTTTTGCAATATTAATTTTCTGCTTCCATGTAGAGTTTCTTTAAGCTTATCGACAGATCGCTCCTTCGAAAGACGCTCACTGAGATCGCAATATTTTCAATTTTTTGCATGGTATAGAGGCCTGTTTATATTTGCCTTGCTCGAGTGCCCTTGACTCGGATTGACAGTCGAAACTTCGGTAAATATCTTGAAGAAAAGCTATTGCGGTTCGCATTACATTGGATTGATCCTTGAGACGTGAGTTTATTCAAAATACAAAGCATGCATACAAAAGGCAAAAAAATGTGTTTATTGGGCGCCAAAAACGTGACGTTTTGACCAAACAAAACAGTTGTTGTCTTGGCGTTCTCGCATCCTTTTGTGTATTTTAATCGCGTTTTTTCCACAGTTCCTAATCATTTGATGTTGTGGGAAATAATAATGAGATACGTTCTGTTTGCATAGTGGAGTTTGCCAAAATATTTGGGAAAACAAATTTGCAAATATTTAGTAGCTGCCGCAGATGCGAGCTCATTGAACTGTCATCAAAACGATAGAAATTAATTACTTTTTTCTCAATTTTTTCATCTGAGGCTTGTCAACATTGAAAAAAGACTAATGATTGTTTTTCCATTCATTAACGACAGGAAAATTCACGCATTGGTGAAATGGTGGATTGAATAATTTCCATTTTATGTTTCAATATAATGTTCACAAATCATGATTTTGCTTAATTTTTCAAAAATCTTGTTCATCTTCAAAGTAATGCAAAAGAAATTCAAACATATTACTCTTCATGCAGTCCTCAAAAACAGCTGATAAGATAACGAGAGAGAAGTGAGCTCAGGATTCTGATTATGTAATATTTTTAATAAATCAAAACTTTTTCTAAGAGATGAGACAAACTTTTGAATGCATATCAGTTGAACTCAGGTGTGTCCTTGAACTGCAAATGCAGAAAAATCAAGAGAAAGCTGATGAGAGATAAGAAAAGTGAAAAGAAGTATTGTTATCAGTCTTCGAGAATTTTCAAATTAAATGAATTTTCCTATTGTAAACCATCTGCCCTCAAACTTTTCGAATTTCGATTTTTCATTTTGAGAAATGATCCATCAAAAAGAACAGTTATCAATCTTTACTTCTATCAAATATCAAACGCAACACGACCGATCGGGCAACAGTTCTGAACCAAGATCGATGGGCTGACCCGACGTTTCCGTTCTTCTCCCGCGTTCGTCCATTTGGCGCCACCTTGTCGTGAGCTCGACTGATCTCGAAATCGAAAGTCGACGTGAGGAATGTTGAAAAAAAGCAGCATGATCCATTCGAATCAGTTTTTTAATGAAAATACATTTTAATTTGACCACGACCTTCACAAAACTTGCCAAAAGTTCGTTCGAACCACGTAACAAATACGAAGAAACTGTTAACTGTCTCGGGTTTATGTCGAAGTTATGGTGTGTCCGGTGTCTTCCAACACCCAACAAAAGGGTCGCCGCGTACAACACGTCGAAATAGACACTTCCCACAGAACGATCGGAGTTTAGAACAAAAGCCTTTTCTTTCCTTCTCTTTCATTCATCAAAAGCTGTCAATAAACATCGCTAAATAGTAAGTTTCTCGTGGAACGTGGAACGTAAGGGTTGGAAATGAAAACAGAGAATTTCGACTTTTTCGGAAATTTTTTGATGGATGCTAAAACAATGTTTTCCCCTTCAAATGAGTTTCTTCCAAAACTTAGATAATTTAACTTTTTTCCTTCTTTCAGAGAACCGGTTTAGGTCAGCGATAAACTGGAAATGAATATAAAAAAATTGAAAATTTCATAAAATGAGGAAAATGAGGAAAATACACTTTTTTCCGTCTGCTTTTGATGAAAGGACAATAAGTTTGCAGAGTCTCTAACTGAATCTGAGAAATTTTTGAATCGATTAAAAAATATTGATAAGGACTCAACAAATCTGTCTTCATTTTGATTCTCATATACCAGTCTACTCGAATCTAGAAAAGCCTGAATGTTCAGAAAAAATGATCCAACAATGAGATTAGTAATAAATTGATTTTACCAAACCTGATTTATAATGTTTCGCACTCTGCTTGAAAAATTGTGTTTTTTCTTCTATTTCTAATTTTTTTCGTTCTACTTCTTCACCTGATCAAACATCACTAAAAAGCTTTCAGAAACCCTAAATAAAAACAGGAAAACAATCAAAAACCCTTAATGGCAAAAACTTGCAAAGCCGGTTATCTAGAAATATTTTTTCATTTCTTCAAATGTTTGGGGATGCCCTTTGACTCCTTTCTTTCCTGTTTCACGCCGACTTTGTTCCATTCATGCATCTGATGTCACGTATTTTTGTTTTTCTCACTCAGGTTGGCATTTGTAAAATTAGGGTAATCGTAATCGAATGTTTGATTATTGAGTTTTTGGGACGAACACAAAATTTTCTACAAGAGATTAGATTTGGGTAACAAATGGGAACAGTGGGGATGATTAAAAAACTATATTTCTGCTGGAAAATATTAAGAGCACCCTGTTTGTAATAAGAAGTCAGTTCTAAAGTTTTAGAAAGTCGAAAGTAAGCATTTCAACACTTCCGATCCGAACTGAAGCTTCATGTACATCATCGAAGAATGGTGAAATTTGACTAAAATGAAAATTTATCACCAAGGGTCCCATTCAGCAAGCTTGGAAAATTTGTTGGTAATAAATATTTTCTTTGTAAGCTTTCCGTCCGACCAAAAACCGATTTTCATGGAAGTTATAGGGCTGAACTAAAGATTCTGGTGCCTTTTCAACTTCCGACAATCATTTCCAACCCGAAACGACAACTTTGTTTTAATCCTCCGTCATAAAGCTTGAGACTAAAGTAAGAATAATTATGTCATTTTCTTTTCAACTGCAAAGTAACCATGAGAACCTCAATAATCTATCCCGTCCATTTTTCGCTTCGAAAAACGAAAAATAAAGTTTATCGCTCTTCATTTTTCAAGCGGCTTCCCCAAGTATTATTTGAATTAAAACGCTCTCGCAAACATTTCCATCGCCTGAGGAAAAACAAGCAACGACCCGCCACAAGTTATTTGCGTTCGTTCACCGATATTCCTTTTTCCAAAGACACAATCGACTCCGTCAAGCACGTGTAAGAACTCGGCTTTTTTGTCATTTTTTCATTTTTTTTTTGTTGGCAAATAAACGAGTTTCTCGAACAACACAGGAGTTTCTGGAACAGTCTTGAACACTGAAAAGTACCCTCTGGAAGGTCTGAAGTACTCTGAATAACAAAAAAAGAGAGAGGGCCGTTGCTGCAAGAAGCGTCGTTGTAGGCTTTTAAGGGAACGGTTTTTCTTGTGGATATGTTTTCAGAGGTTTTCTTTACAAGAGTTAGTTGAACTTTTCCATGCTTTTTTCTTTCCTTCTACTGAAAGTTACAGTCATTTTTCAATACTTCTCAGCCGTATCAAAACCATCCTATTCATACTTGAATGAGCCAAATTGAGTATCGAGGACAATTTTTCAGGTAGAAAACTGATGATGGGTGTTCTTTTAAAAATAATTGTTAAAAAAAGTGTCCTCGGTCGAAAGAAAATCATTTG